CACATAATTTTCCAAGACATACAGTCATCTCAGAATGTTCATGTAACTTTTAGTGTTGACTTACAAATACAGAAAGACCACCTTTGTGAGCAACAAAAACGGTTTATACCTTCACTATCATCACAAAACTGTGAAGAAAACCTTTTCACTCCCAAGAGATGAAAAAGCATCAGCAACTCTGCACTCCTTTGTGTGCTTTTGAGGCTGGAAGTTGAAGTACATTTTAAAGGGAGGAGTATGAATCTCAGAAAATAATTTCCCACCTAATCTCTAACTACTTAATGTTTTTACAGGAATTCTGCCAATATTTTACATGCAGTGGCAATAGTCAAGCACTTAACATATTGTTGGCACCAGCCAGCAGTCAGAGGTAGCTCTCAATAGAAAGGATAAAAGACTGGAACAGCTCACACAATGAAATATTAAATAGATTTCTCTGTCAAGTAGGAATATCCCGGTATCCCTACATCACTAGTACTCTACTATCATGCCTTGCCAAAACAAGAATATGTTCAAGAGTTTGCTTTCAAAAAGACAGTAGCATTGTATTTCTTCCAGAAATAAATAATTTATAAAAAGAAGCAGTGCCAACAAATCACTGGGGAAAAAAATTAACACAATACTGAGCTATTCTTTACCTGCAGATTTGTTCTAACTTTGGATGAAACCAAAAAGTGTAAAAAAAAAAAAAACAAAACCAAAATCTAAGGCAAAATTAACATTTAGATATGCATTTGTAATATGAAATAAAGAACAAACTCGTGAGGAAGTCTTTCCTAGTGCAACAAAAAATAAATAGGCAGTTTAGGAGCAAACACAGCTGAAAGCAATTCTAATACCAGTGAATGCGGAATGGTTGCTGCAGAAAGTGCACTGAAATTTGGCTTCCCACTTACCTGTTATTGAAAGGTACAAACTGCAGGTTACACTATATCAACAAAAAGCATTTAAGAAGAGAAAGGGAAAGAAAAGTTTAGAAAGTGAGTCTCCAAGAAGGTGCCACCGAAGACTGGGTCAAACTACATATGTGTCTAATGCTGTACTCTTGAGAATTCCTTCATTCCATGAGAAAGAATTGCATTTCAGTCATTAAAAAAGTAATCAAAATGTCTAATTTGTGACATGTATAGAGTTGTTGGCATTAGTTTAAGAGGCCGGGGGGGTTAACTATTAGGTGATTTTCCTAACACTACAGTAAGTAGGTCCAATTGCAAGTGCCACACCTTGTGGATGAATAATTTCAAAACATGGTTCTTTTGAGGATGAGGATTCAGGTAATATATTCCATCCCAATTTCCAATTCATACTTGAACAGCTCTTACAAAAACACATATTAACTTGACTGTGCTGTGGTACATTGATAAAAGCTTTAAAAAATGCAGATGGAAAATTTAGTTGTTAGCATGCCAAATCAGTGTCAAAACAAAGTCTCATCTCACTATTTTTGCAACCTTTTTGAGACAGGTAAATGGGCAAATGGCAGCATGGTGAAACAGAGCATTCACCATGCAATAATAATGACAAGTAGTAAAGGAAAAATTAGACTGTCACCAGCATTTAATGTCATATGAAGTAATGGCATTTACTCCTTTAAGGAATGTAAGCATCAATTCCATTAGGGACAGTTTTCAGCCCTTTGTCGAGAAGGTAAATATTATTTTATGCATATCAGCTAGCACTCTAGTGGTATAGCAGTGCAAGATGGGATCTTCTCCAAATAAGTTCAGACATGCCTTTTACTGCACTGAGAAATTGGAAATCATTTATCCTGAGAGAAGCATTTAACTTTGCAGTGTAGTCACTAATGGTAGGTGCCTCTGGAGATCAGAGGGAGATTTGGTCTGCCTAATTTAGACAGGCAGACATAGGAGTATCTTCTGTCATGGCAAGATTTCCTAAAATGAGGAAGACTTTATTTAAATAAAAGCTCCAAGTAATGTCTATTACTTTCAAAAGCAGTATTCTTTTGGTATTCTCTTCTGAAAGAAGAAACACACTGGATAGACCAAGGTCCAATTGCCTGCACTCACAGCTCCAAAATATCATATTTACTTCATAACCTCAGTATTTGTACTTGCAGGAATGATGAATTAAGCATGGTTTAAACTTATTGGGGAAGAAAGGAAAATAATTCCCATTACTATTTACACCATATGAAACTGACTTTGCTTATCTTGATTACCTATTAGAGTGATAGTTGCAGACTGCAGTACATAAAAATGATATGCACTGAACCCATAATTTGCCTGCCAAGAAGATAAATGAATGAGAAGGGTCCATCATTTAAAACTCTCGAAAGTACCAGTCTGTACAAGTAAGGAGTTTTACAGAAGAAGGTGACTTTTTCAAGTCATATTCAGCACTGACTGGTTCATATCAGTTCCTGTAATTTCACTTTGTTGCTGTGAATACGAACCTGTGGAGTCCAGGGCACAGATTACAGGCATTGGGGTCCAACAAAATCAAAAACTTCTATTGATTTTTTTGGTAAATCCAGTATTTACAGAAAAAGGAGGATTACTTTGTGAGCCTCTCACAAAGGAGAATTGCCCAGAAACCCAGCCTGCTGAAAAGAGATACTGTCACTTATGCAGCCAGGGGTTGATTTCAGGGGTTTAAAGTTTTAACAGGAGACAACCTGGAAAATACAGTTTAAACATTGGATATTTACATATTTTAAAGCAAATTCATTGCTTGGGATTTTTATGCCTTTGTATAACCAACAGGAAAAAACTAGAGGAGATGCTAAGAAATCCGTCTGTTTCTGTATGCAGGGCAGATTGGTCTGGATTTGTTTTCCTAAGTTAACATTAAGTGTGAGTGGAAAAGGATCTCAAAAATATCTGCACTTTTGCTATTTTCGCCCTAAAAATGAATTAAAGTATACAGTTTGTAAATTTCAGAAATTACTGGTTTTGAGAAACTTCACCAGTATGTTTTACTCCCACTAAATTAGCTATTTAAAATTTTGAAGTTCAGAAATACAGCTTGGATAGTGTGTTATGTTTAAGTATGACTCTGTCTCTGAGGCATCACCACAATCCATTAAGCTCCCCTTATTTTCTGCCCCATTGTAAGCTTAGTATGTGATTCATCTTTTTTCATACCACACAGGACAAAAAGGTGATCTTTTGTATTTCAGTCTCTACCTTACACTCCTCATCTTCTTTTCCCAAGCAGTAAATGGTGAAGAAGAAAGCTTTTTTGCAGCTTCTTCAGCTGGGGAAAAGCACTTATATGTCAGGTCTCTAAGGATTTTGATGCTCTCTTTATCCCTTGACCCTATTTTCATACTCAGAGCTACAAGGAACAAAACTATCCCACAGAAAGAAAATATACTTGGAGGTTAGTAAGCATTTCAGTATGTAAATTGTATGTCCTTTTCCCCAAGATCCACTCAAGTCTTTAGGGACAAGGGCAAGTAAGCTCTCAAAATGAAATACTTTATAATGGAAATTTTCTATTCCAGTCTTTTAGGTACTCACTCAAGGAGAAAACAACACAACTTCAAGTCTCTAGAGGAAACCAACACAATAAACTATACAGAGCAGTTTCATTATAAAAGGAGGAAAGCACTCCTGATAGATGGAACTTACCAAGTAATATTTACAAAGTTTATCTTTGTATAGTATTTTGTAGTTATTAATTAAACCATGGCATCCCTTGTAGTGAAAATTGCATTGATTTTTCCCACCATTGTAGATGGCATTTTAATAAAGAAGAGAGACAAAAGCATGATGCTGAAGCTGGAGGGATAAAAAAGATATTTCTTTTAAGAAGGAAAGAATAATGATTGCCTTTGAACTTCAAATCTAATTCCACTTCTCCCAGAAAACAACACTACTGATGGAAAAGAAATTTTTCTGGTTTTTTTCTTTTTTCTATTTCAGAACTCTGTGTTTTGTTGTCAGAGCAGAGTTATTGTTCACAATTAGAGATATAAGAACCAAGAGGTTTCACTGTGAAGCTATCAGTAATATTTCAACTCCAGAAACCATGTGGAAAACTGTACTTAAAACCTGTCAAGAAGATGTAAAAACAGAATTAAAGCAAGTCCTTAGATGGATATAAATGCACTAGGCAAGGAGAAGACATTTAATATCTCTAATTCTCTTGCTTGGGGAATGGGGTAGAGAAGGGAATTTGAGACAATAACAGTGAGAAGCTTCATGGCCTCCCTAAGTAGCCTCTCCTTTTACCAGTGCAGTGAAGAGGATACTGGGTTAAATGGGTCACTGACAAAAAATGCTTGTAGAACCTTTCTGGTCAGTGAGCCTTCAGATCAGAGTGAAAACTTGTATTTTTAAACTGAAATACAGCGCTTTATTTTGTTGCGGCTGCTGTTGTCAAAATAACTGTTGTCTTGTTGTCTTTGACAGCATTATGCTTTTGTCCTCTAGTTCTGTGCATATAAATGTGGCATGTAACCAGAGACACCTGCAATCTTGTAAACCTATTGCAATAATATAACTGTACAGAGCCACATTGGAATTGACTTCCTTGTAAGCCTTAAATTTAGTAAGTCACAGATATGCATACCAGGTAAATAACACCAACTTTCATTTAGCAGGCGTGTGATTTTCATTCAAACTTCCTAGTTTTTTTATCTGCCATCTCAACAAAGTTAAGAAAGAACCAAATTTAACAAAGAGGGAAGAGGGAAATTATGTCTTGTTTATTATGTAAACATGTGCACCCAGTTAATATCCCTGAATCATCCTGTTGGTGCTTCTGTATGCTCACTGCAACGCCAAGCTGTGGTGCTCGCAGGTACAGATGGCCCAGCAACCAGGGCCTCACTTCCTACATTTATCTGCCATATGCAAGCCTTTTAACTAAATCATTTTTAATAAGTGAAGTGAGACACAGAGCAACTAGTGTTTTGCTGTGGATGTGCACTCAGCAGAAACTTGAATTAACCTTTATGGTGCAGTAAAAACACTTTCATTACTAGAGTGGTAGTTAGAACTATACTGTATCCATAGGAAAAAGCTCCTTACCTGAACAACATGTTTCAGCTTGTCAATAATTTGTCTTATTACAGGATCTGTTCCCTTCACCTTTACTTCTGGATTTGCAGACTGAGCTTTGATTCCACTGCCAACCACACGGCGTGTATAGCTAGTTCGATACAGAAACACACATAAAAATGGTTTAGTAACTTAGTCTACTCTCAGAGAGTCATCTTCTAGTTTGTATTGTCTCTCATGGCACCAGCATACCTCTTTAAGGAGATGCATTAATTTTGTGCGCATTTTTTTCACAAAAAAGAAATACAAAAAAATATAATTACTGCATTCCACAAAGTTCTGTTATTTATTACCATTTTAAGTTTACTGCAAACTTTAATAAGGAAAATTATCTACATTTTTTAGCATGAAGCATTCAGCCCTGTGCATGTCTTTTTGTGTGTATGCAAAAAGACTGTGTTCCATTTTGATTTTGCTAAATTCAACAACATGATGATTGCCTTAATGTGTGACATTTCAAGGTCTTAAAACAAACTCTAGATTCCATACACACTGTATGTTCAGAAATAAACCTGCAGATTTTTAGTGGTTTTGTGAGGGCATGCACAGACTGAATATTTATTGAAAGATAACAACCATATTGTGCATTAATTATTTAGCATTGCATAAATTATATAAGTAAGAGATGGCCAAAATGTACTTGGTATGTAGATATATAAAAAGACATCACAACTAGATATAAGCTGATTCAAAAAATAACTGCTTCAGTAAGTAGAACATTGTTTACAATAAATCAAAATTCAAAATACAGTAAATAAACTAACCACTGAGCAGGATTCTGTAGCTTATTATGAAGCAATTCTTCATTCAACTTACCATATTATATGTAATACTCAAGTTATGCAAGAAAAACTGAATGTCTAGCTTCTCATCACAGATACTGTACATTATGCAAATACTCTCCATATGCTATATTTTTTCAGTGTATACTATAAGAGGATAGCTCTATAGCTCTCTGTCTCAAAAGTATTTTTGCCAGCTGTTATGCTGTAAGGAAAAGAAAGGAAATAACCTTATCAGAGTAAGGAAATATCTAATTCCTGCCTCTTAGATCTGCATATAAGTGCAGACAACACTGCATATTTAAATTTTGCAGAATTTGTTCTATGAAAAACATTACAGGTCCTCTTAGCTCTGCAGAAAAGCTTGCATGTATGCTAAACAATTAATGCAGTTCAGTAAAAAAAGGTTGCTACATGACAAAAATATTTTGTCCTCGATCTTTTTACTTAAATTTCACCCTAAATGAGATTGAGGATGTTCCTGAGGAAGTGTAGACACTGAATAAATGAATGGCTCATATTCTTGAATGGGTGTTACTCTGATTTGCAGCAGAGAGCTTTTTGTGCTGCCTTGTAGCAATGGAGCCATTTGCCAGCTTGAAGTGATGGGGAAAAACTTTGTATGTAGGGGTACAAAATCCACAGTCTGCCTGCTTGTCTTGGGCCATTGTTTAGTGCAGCAATTTGGGCAGGGTCAGCAAACTTTCTGATAATTCTAAGTGTGAAAAAAATTAAAGTTAAACATGAAAACCTTAAAAAAATTTCTTTGACAGTCATTTGTATAAAACAAAATATATAAATAAATAAGGAATTATTTATATATTCCTAAACAATGCTGCAGTGACCAGAAAAAACAACTGGTTTAACTCAACATACTAGTTTAATGGAACACCAAAATTTCTCTTCACACCATAACACTATAAAAAATCTTGAAGGTTATGTCTATTCTTTTAATCCAGTGGTCTTGTTCTGTTTCACAGCATGCAAAATCTGTGTTCTCACTTTCTGTCACTCAGAATTTTCCAATTAACACCTTTTTTTCAAATGCTGCAAACCCAACTATTGCACATTTTCCTGTGAATCGCATAACAGTGAAAAAGAATACCCTTTCTCTTTTCTTAATTCAATGATAATCATTTCTCTAACCATGCAAGAAGAAATAAATCATGCAGAAGCTGAAAGTTCCCTAGACTACAATTTTATTAGTATTCACTCACCTGAGAATTAGTTGGCTATGAATCATTCAAGACTGACTATCATTTATTTTTCAGCTATTTCTACAATGAAATCAGAAGTTTTGCACAGCTGGTACTTGCTGTAGGACTGACTCTTTCACATGAAAGAAAGTAGCTGGGGTAATGCTGTCTTGAGAGTGGACCTGATATCAGGAGTTTCAGTCATGTTCTCTGACCCCTTCAGAGTCAACTTTCTCTAAATTCCTCTTCACCTTTTTTCAGTTGAGAGTGGGGAAGGGTAAGAAGCTGAAGCAGAAGTGACATGCATTGAAACAGTGACAACTAGCACACCAGTGCTTGATAACAGCAACATCTTTAGGTCTATTAAACAAATATTTGGATCAATAGCTACTGGTAGTAACGACCTTGGTATTACTTTTTCTTATTTCCCTGAGCTGTTTAGCATATTTCCACCTTCTTTCCCACTACTGATCCTTCTCTCACCAACAGCTGGCATGATCCTTTCCAGGGTTTACAGAATGAATTTGTTATTTCCCCTGCTTTCTGCTGCCTGGCTTCCTTATCCTTCATTTTCCAACAGAACAGTACACCTTTCCACCTAAAGCCTTCCCAAATACTACCCCCAGACTCTTCAAACCTTGCTCTGTGAAAACTGACACATTTCATCCCATTCTCCTGACATTTTTGTCTGTTACAGGCTCTAGAAGATCCCAATTACCATACAAGTTTATGTCAATACAGAAAATACCAATACTTATATACCAACACTTTGAACCCAGCATTGGTATAATCACTACACATTCCAAAGTTTTCTGGTTCATCAAATTTAACAGATTTTACCACATTCCCACCTCGACTTTTAAAGGAGTTGATATTTTTCTACTTTAAAAAATCCTTATACTTTTGAAGTGATGAGTTGTTACTCAAGCTTTAAAACTATTTTACTCCTTTGAGAGTTTTTAATTTTACATTCCAAGACTTCAGTCTTGAAATTGATCCTCCAGGTTCTGGATGTGAGTTCTCCCCCAGGATCATACCAGAAGTAACCATCACATATGGAAAATGAAGAGCTGGATTTCAAAAATTAAGATTCATTTAAATGGAATTCGATTTGGAAGAATATTTTGCCCAAAATATATTTGGTTTGCTTGGCAAAAGCAAAGCCCAGGGGTGGCTGCTGGAGTGGCTTCTGGGACAGGATGCCAGAAGCTTTCCCCAGAGCGGAGCCAATGCCAGCCAGCTCCAAGACAAACCCACTGCTAGCCAAGACCAAGCACGTCAGTGATGGTGTAGCACTCCTGTGACAACAGATTTAAAATGGAGAAAAAACTGCTGAGCAAGAGGAGGTGGATGAGATGAACTGAGAACATGAGAGAAACAGCCCTGCACACCCACAAGGAGAGAAGTCTATGCTGGAGCAGGTTTGCTGGGAGGTGGCCCTTGGAAGAACCCAAACTGGAGGAGCCTGTTCATGATGTACTGTGCCCTGTGGAAAAGACCCACGCAGGAGCAGCTTGTGAAGAACTGCAGCCTGTAAAAAGGATCCAAGTTAGCGAAGTTCATGGACAACTGACTCCCATGGGATGGACTCCATGTTGGAGCAGGGGAAGAGTGTGAGGAGGAAGGAGTGGTAGAAGAGTGTGTAATGAATGCCCAAATGTGAGTACACTCAATGTATTGAAGTAAATTATTGTGCAAGTTTGTATTTTTCTTGTTATTTGGATCCTAACCCGTATTAAATTTGCCTTCACTGCAAGGTGATCCAGCTTTGACCAACTGACATTAAAAACTCTCGTTTAACTTTGAGTTTGTTGTAATTATATGCTCTGACAAGTCATAAGGCAGATTGAAAACCTTTTTTCTTTCTTTGGATGTATAATAAGGCATTGACAAAACCTTATTAAATATTGCTGTATCGATTCTTATCATAAAAGTAAGATTATGAATGTCAACATGGTTATGTTTAATCTACTCTTTGTCTGCTTGAAATGGTATCTTTTGCCGACAAAAAATCATAAATTACTCATAAGTTGTTTCATACTCCATGTAATTGTGTTTAATTAACAAATGTCTAAAAATCTAACATCTTCAAGTATTCTAATGTAAATTAAATGATCTGTCGAAGCTAAATGGGCTATTGGGAATCTGAGCACGGTACACAAAACTTCATCCCTGTAGATTCACATTTACATGCAAAATTTGTTTCCCTTTATTTGGGGGAAATAGGAAAATCTCAGAGTCTTGCTTTGAGAGACTTCATTCATTTTAAAGTTTTAATATGGCATTAATCATTTTCTATAACTCCTAATGTACAAGTAATGGGAAAAATATTTTAAGGATCCCCACAGAGGTAGTCTGACTTAAGCAAGTGTTGCTCAGATTTGAATCCTGGGGAAAAAATATGACAAATTTCTTGCTAGAGAAATAATAGACCCGCCATCTGTGCTCATTTCTGTACAAGCACGGTAATGTATCACATCACTTTAATAGGCAGACTTGGTCCCCAAGTACTATTCATTTTCATCAGCATTAGGAAAAAACCCCAAGAACTAATATATTTGTATTCTATAAACATGTTTTAAAATGATGAATAACAAGGTGCCCATTTTCTGAGCTCAATATATGAATATTCATATAAATACCTATAAATTACCTATTACTCTCTATTGTATTTATGAACACAATTGGTGGAGTTTACTTTTGATTCTCTCAAGACAAAAGAGAAAATCATGCTTTATTTGCTATCACTGATTTCTTGGTACATGCAGTTGGAAAAGCTATTAGAAGTAATAAATACATAAATTCTTGTTTGATTCAGCCATTTTGGATGTGGTGCTTCAGGAAGATCTGTACATGTATGTCCCTCCAGCACAAAATAATCTGTATAACACATCTTCGGATGACAACTAATACATCATGTTTATGGTCAACCACTGATTATGATTTTCCTTTTTGAGCTACTTTTATGCACTTTGACCATGTTTCACGTGGGAGATTAAAGTAATGAAAAGTGTACTATGACAGAAAAGTTACTGTGCAGAACATCCCTACATGCACTGGCAGTCAAGCCTCTCCCAAGAGACCTGGTGATATTCCACACTTCAGCAAGTTTA